ATTGAAAAAAAGTGTGGCAGACAAAACTGGCCATCTTGATGATAAGAACAAAAGTAGATTGCGTGCGACAGAGACGAGGCCAAGAACAGGTTTTACTAAAAGATAACCTGCAAAATGACAATCATAAAAAGCAAAAAGACAGGAGACTCACTGCAGAGCAAGGGCAAAAAAGTGGTGGCGATACTTCCTATAAAATCTAACAAAGAAACTCACGAACAGAAAAGGAAAAAGACCAAAACGAGGCAGAGACAAGAGTTGCGAACATGCCTGATTTTCCGTAATAAACAGGTCATTAACTGCCAAAAGACGCCGAGGCTACATCTCATTAGGAAAAGTTCGGGAGAGGAGGCGCGGGGCTGGTGCTGCCAGGGCGCTCTGGCGGCGGCGTCATCTGGTACTGTTGTTGTTGCTCTTGTTATACTTATTATTATTATTATTATTATTGTTATTATTATTATCATAATCATCATTATTATATTGTTATTATTGTTTTATTAACAGTATTACTATAATTAATATTTTTATCATTATTATTAACATTGTCATTATCATTATTATTATTGCTATTTTGATTATCATATTATTATTGTTATTATGATTATCTTATTATTGTTATGATTATCTTATTATTATTATTATTATCTTATTATTATCATTGTTATTATTAAGAAAATATTGCACCACCATCATCATCCTCGCCACAACCACCATCACTATCATGTTATGTATTTTTCGCGATGGAGTGTTTGCTATTCTCGTTGTATGTCCTTCGTGTGAGTCCTTGGGCGCGGCTGCGCAACGAGGCCTCCGCGAGCTCTCACCGCGCGGGTGGCCTTCCGGTGAGGACTTTTGGCGCGTGCGGGGAGGCTGCAATTAATTAATGCTCGTGAAAGAAATCGTGACTCCAATTAAACGAACCCTATTAAACATGAAGCAGACAGGGAGAGTGTTGGCTTTTTTGTCTTTGAAAATGTAAATGAGGTAAAAGCGACAAGAAAAAAATATCCTCGGAAGTCTTGGACGGATAGTTTGGGTGAGTGTGCTTGGATGTGGGTGAGTGTGCTTAGAGTGGGTGAGTGTGCTTAGAGTGGGTGAGTGTGCTTGTGTGTGGGAGAGTGTGCTTGGGTGTGGGTGAGTGTGCTTGGATGTGGGTGAGTGTGCTTAGAGTGGGTGAGTGTGCTTGGGTGTGGGTGAGTGTGCTTAGAGTGTGGGTGAGTGTGCTGAGTGTGCTTAGAGTGAGTGCTTAGAGTGGGTGAGTGTGCTGGGTGATGAGTGTGCAGTGTGCAGTGTGCTTAGAGTGGTGAGTGTGGCTGAGTGAGTGTGCTTAGAGTGGGTGAGTGTGCTTAGAGTGGGTGAGTGTGCTTAGAGTGGGTGAGTGTGCTTAGAGTGGGTGAGTGTGCTTAGAGTGGTGATGTGTGTAGAGTGGGTGAGTGTGCTTAGAGTGGGTGAGTGTGCTTGGTGTGGGTGCGTGTGCTTAGAGTGGGTGAGTGTGCTTAGAGTGATGTGCATTAGAGTGGGTGAGTGTGCTAACAATGGGTGAGTGTGCTTAGAGGGGTGAGTGTGAGTGGGTGATGCTTAGAGTGGGGGTGAGTGGCTTAGAGTGAGTGTGTGGTGAGTGTGCTTAGAGTGAGGTGAGTGTGCTTAGAGTGGGTTGAGTGTGCTTGTGTGGGTGAGTGTGCTTAGAGTGCAGTAGTTGTGCTTAGAGTGGTGAGTGTGCTTGGGTGGGTGAGTGTGCCTTAGAGTGGGTGAGTGGCTTTGGTGCGTGTGCTTACAGTGGGTGAGTGTGCTTTGAGTGAGTGTGCTTAGAGTGGGTGAGTGTGCTTAGTCCGGGTGAGTGCTTGGAGTGTGGGGTGAGTGTGCTTAGAGTGGGTGAGTGTCTCTTGGGGAGTGCTTAGGTCGGTGAGTGTGCTTAGAGTGGGTGAAGTGTGCTTGGAGTGCTGAGGCTGCGAAGTGTGCTTAGAGTGAGTGAGTGTGCTTAGAGTGGGTGAGTGTGCTTAGAATGGGTGAGTGTGCTTAGAGTGGGTGAGTGTGCTTGGGTGTGGGTGAGTGTGGCTTAGAGTTGCTTGGGTGAGTGGGTGAGTGTGCTTAGAGTGGGTGAGTGTGCTTGGAAATGGGTGAGTTGTGCGGTAGAGTGTGCGGTGAGTGTGCTTGGGTGTGAGTGAGGAGTGAGTGTGCTTAGAGTGGGTGAGTGTGCTTAGAGTGAGGTGAGTGTGCTTTGGGTGTGGGTGAGTGTGGAGTGAGTGTGCTTAGAGTGGGTGAGTGTGCTTAGAGATGGGTTGAGTGGCTGCTTGCTATGTGGGTGAGTGTGCTTAGAGTGGGAGTGAGTGTGCTTAGAGTGGTGGTGAGTGTGCTTCAGAGTGGGTGAGTGTGCCTTGCAGAGTGGTGAGTGTGCTTAGAGTGGGTGAGTGTGCTTGGTGTGGGGTGAGTGTGGCTTAGAGTGGGTGAGTGTGCTTGGTGTGAGTGTGCTTAGAGTGGGTGAGTGTGCTTGGGTGTGGGTGAGTGTGCTTAGAGTGGGTGAGTGTGCTTAGAGTGGAGTGGCGTGTGCTTAGAGTGGGTGAGTGAGTGTTGTGCTGGGTGAGTGTCGCTTAGAGTGGGTGAGTGTGCCTTTAGAGTGGGTGAGTGTGCTTAAGTGGTGAGTGTGCTTCGGGTGTGAAGGTGAGCGTGGGTGCTTAGTGTGCTTGAGTGTGGGGTGAGTGTGCTTAAAGTGGGTGAGTGGGTGTGAGTGTGCTTAGAGTGGGTGAGTGTGCTTGGAGTGTGGGTTGAGTGTGCTTAGAGTGGGTGAGTGTGCTTAGAGTTGGTGAGTGTGCTGAGTGGAAGTGGGTGTTGAGTGTGGCCTGTGGGGTGTGCTTAGAGTGGTGAGTGGTGCTTAGAGTGTGGTTGAGTGTGCTTGGTGTGGGGTGAGTGTGCTTAGGCGTGAGTGAAGTGTGCTTAGAGTGAGGTGAGTGTTGCGGGTGGTTGGGTGAGTGTGCTTAGAGGTGGTGAGTGGGTTAGGAGTGGGAGTGGAGTGGCCTGGCTAGGTGGCGTTGGGGTGAGTGGTGCTTGTGTTGGGTGGAGCATGTGCCGTTGTGAGAAACAGGTTGGGGTGCTGGTGTCTTGGCGTGTGCGGTGAGGATGGTGCTTAGAGTGGGTCGGATGGATGCTAGAGGGTGGGGTGACGCTGGCTTGGGGTGTGGGTGCAGTGTGAAGAGGGGTGGTGAGTGGTGCTGGGGTGTGGGTGATGTGCGTTAGAGTGAAGGTGAGGGTCTGCGCTTTTAGGGAGGGGTGAGGTGTGGCTGGTGAACAGGTAGCTGGGGGTGATGGCTTCAAGCACGTGGGTTGGGGGAGTGGTGCTTGGGTGGGTGCGGTAGAGGTGTGTTGGCGTTAGACGATGCAGTGAAGTTGTGGCTGTATCCGCCAAAGGGTGGGAATGAGGTGGAGTGCTTGGGTGTGGGAGTGGAGTTGCTTAGGGTAGGTGAGTGTGCTTGGTGTGGGTGAGTGTGCTTAGAGTGGGTGTGAGTGTGCGTTGGGTGTAGGTGGTGCGAGGTGTGACGTTGGGGGTGTGGGGGGAGTGTACCGCTGGTGTGCGTGAAGTGGTGCTGCGGGTGATGAGTGGCAGTGAGCGGTGCTGGAGTTGGTGGGTGAGTGGTCTTCCAGCAGTTTGGCGTGAACTGGGTGCTTAGAGTGCGGGGTGATGTGGTGTCTTTGGGTGTGAGGCGGAATGTGCGTGAGAGTGGGGCTGAGTGGTCCGCCGTTGGGCGGGGTGTCGGTGAGTGCTGGCTGTTAGAGGTCGGTGAGTACGTGCTTGGTTTGTGGGAGTGTAGCTTGAGGTGGGTGTGTGAACTGAGTGGCTTAGGACCGTGGGTGAGTGATGACTTAGTGTGGTGGGGTGAGTGGGTGGCTGTTAGAGTAGGGTGATGTGGTGCTTGGGTGGTGGGTGAGTGTTGCTTAGAGTGGGGTGAGTTGCTTGGGCTGGCTGGGTGAGTGGTGGCCTTAGGAGTGGGTGAGTTGTGGGTGAGTGTGCCTTAGAGGTGGGATGAGTCGGTGCTTGGGCTGTGGAGTGGAGTGTGCTTAGAAGATGGGTGACGCGTGTGCTTGGGCTGTCGGGGAGTGTGCATAGAGTGGGTGAGTGTGCTTAGAAGAAGGTTCGTGTGGTGCTTGGGTGTGGGATCGAGTATGGCTGCATGAAGTCGACAAGTAAGCACAGTGCTAATGCGGGCTGGGTGAGTGCTCCGGCTAGCACGTCGGGTCGAAGTGTGCTATGGGTCGTGCGGTGCACGCTGTCCTTAGATCCGTGGTGGAGTGGTGCTTGGGCTGTGGGTGGTGTGTCTTAGAGTGGGGTTGAGTGTGCTTTGGGTGTGGGTAGTGTGACCCTTAGACGTTGCCGGTGAGTTGCCTCTCGGTGCTCCAGAGGTGAGTTCGCATTAGGGTGGGTGAAGTGTTGCTTAGAGTCTGGGTGAGCTGTTGCTTAGAGTGGGTGAGTGTGAATCTTAGGAGTGGGTCGAGTAGTGCTTGGGTTGGGTAAGTAGTGCTTAGATGGGTGAATTGCTTAAGGGTGTGGAATGAGTTAGCTTAGAGTGGGTGAGTGGTGCTTTTGGTAGTGGGTGAAGTGTGTGCTTAGGAGTGTGGGTGTGATGTGTGCTTAGAGTGGGTGATGCTGCTTAGACGTGGGTGACGAGTGTGCTTGATGCTCGCGGGTGAAGTGTTGCTTAGAGTGGGCTGCGAGTGGTGGCCTTAGAGTGGGTGAGTGCATGCTTGTGCCCTGTGGGATGAGTGTGCATCTGGTGTGGGTGAGTGTGCTTAGAGATGGGGATGAGCTGTGCATTGGGTGCTAGATGAAGTTGTGGCGCGTCATAGAGTGGATGGTGACTGCTTGGGTGTGCCGGTGACGTGTGCTTAGAGTGGTTGAGTGTGTCTTGGTGTGGTGAGTGGTGCTTAGATGTGGCGGATGAGTGTGGCTTGGATATGTGGAGGTGAAGTGATGCTTGGGAGTGGGTGAGTTGTGGCTTGGGGTGGCTGGGCAT